TCAAGATAAGATTGATATTAATCGTTGTTCTTGAAATGTTCTTTTTATCATATTCAAGTAATGCGCGTCGATGTTACTAATAATTTATATTTGATGAATAGTCTTATAATTTACGTACTTCATATATGAATGTAATAGTGAACTAATATTTCTTTAATATATATCTTTCACAAGCGTCAATCAATGTTGTCGTCAGAATTTAATTTGAAAGAAAGCCTATTTCTGTAGAATCAAACATAAAATATTTTATCCATTTTCATATGAATATTGTTCTTGATATTACAACAATGACAATAAAAAAAATCTATTCTATATATCTATTTTTGTTTTTTTATATTTGTGCATTTAATATGAGTAAAATGATACTCTATCGTGTTCATTTTTTGTGTATAAATATAAATATCGTTTATATGATCAAAATAAAAATATGGTGCAGATGTGCAGGAGAGTAATCGATAACATTACATACTTACCTACACTCACACCCCCAACATGCACTTCGTACTTTCAAGGTACAGAAGTTCATTTTTTCCCTTGTTAATAATTCAGTTACACATTGGTTGAGATCCAAACGAAGATAAATACATGAGTTTTCTAAAAAAAAATCATTTATAAGAACAAGTTACTTTCAAAGATATATCTACAGATGTGTAATATACGAATAAGGTATGTTGTCTTAGACTGACATTAATATTACATCTTTTTCTTTTTTATTCCGAAACGTTTGTTTTTGTAATATTTTTCTTTTCATCTTATTTTATTTAGAAACTCCAATTTTAAAATATATTTCTATTACTACATTATGTTTGTTGATTAAGACGCAAAAGTATTGTCGAAACTGTTTCATGTAACACTCTCACTTGTTCATATTGTTTTAACAGACGAACAAACTTGTTCTTGCTCGTATATTTTCTCGTTATTCTTTAAACGTTGAGAAAAACGAATATGATCGTAAAATATGCTTCTTTTACATCTAGAGATCGAATCATAAATGAATTGTTTGAACATTGAATTGATAATGTAAAAATTTATTAAAGCAATTTTTTCCTTGAGGGCATGTATATAGATATTAATGGATGATAAACTTCATATATGCATCTATTCACTGATACATTCATGATTTACTTTTCAAAAAGAACATTCAAATCGTTTTTTTCTCTAATATTTTCGATTATTTGTTTGACTCTTACAATCTATCATAAAGTATTTAATTGTTTTATTTTATTCTTGAAAAATTTTTCTAGAATTCATTTTATAAAAATGATTGGTGACCACTATTTTCTATAGAAAAGAATACGACTGATTTTTTCCAAATTTCTTGAAGTAAATGAATTTTATTCATATTTATAAAATGTTAAACATATACAAAGTTTTATCAATGATTATCCATAAAAGGGATCGGATTAAATGATTTATGTATCATTCAAATATAAATTCTTATATGAATATTACTCGTTTACATAAATATGTTATTTTTTTAAAATTCTTATTTTATAAACAAGGTAAATACTATATCAAGGATAAGATCTAAAAAGAAATAATCAAACAAAGTTTTCTTTTATTTTCAAGTTTATTTTTGAATAAAATATTAATAAATATAAATAAATCAATTTTGATCAATTTACAAAATCGAAAATTCCGATACTAACGATTGCCATTTTAGATTCGAATATCAGATAAAATAGCAGAATGCTAAATTAATTAAATGATCGATAGAAGCATGTTTATTAAAATAATCATCTCATCTTTTTTTGTTCTTATGAAAATTTCTATTTACTACATCAATACTTAAAGGATATAAATTTAATGTTTATCATCTTTTTTTTCTTCATTAAAATTGAAAAAAACAAGTTCTTACTTTTGAATCAATTACTAGTCAACAATCATGCTTCGCTTATTCATCAAAGGTCTGTGAGAATACTAATTATATATTGAAACTTAATAACATAGAACACATTAGTTGAACAAATTCTTGTATAAATATGAAAATAATCGAAATGAGGAGAGTAGCTTGAAAGAAATTCTTTGAGTATAGAAATGAAATTTTATGGAAAAATTCTTTTTATTTTAAAAATAATTTTATATCTATAATAGCGATAAACCAGATGAGTCTCATTAAACTCAATTGATGAAGACAATTTTAGTTATAGATAAAGAGATATTTCCATTGTTTATTGTGTTATTTTTTTTATTTATTATTTATGTTTGAATAATATAATAGTTTTGTATGATTTGTGGTTGAAACTATGATAAAAGATCGTATCAATCTGTATGACTGATTGTACAACTATAATGTTTTTATATTTATTGAATAAATCATTTCTTTTAATATTTTTGATAATCATGAAACCTAGCTTTTCATATATATTCGAATCAAATGTTTATTAAGACAGTTTTCTCAAAAATCGTAACAATATTCAATTGAAAGAAGCTTTCTTGTAAATATTCGTACTTTCAATATCAATTTCAAAAAAAAACCTATCATTAGATCGGACAGATAACTATGAAATATTTTGTAATCTTATAAATAATTTTTAAATATAATATAAATATATTAACATATTTATTTTAGATCATAAAGTAATTTTTATATTTTAATAATACTTTTAAATGAAGTTGGTTGACGATTTATTATCTATTATATTAATTTCCTTCCATCTCAGTTTTATGCTCAACTAAGTTAGTCATGAAATGAACGTGGTTTTCCATTATTTCGCTGGTTAATTATTAGATCATTTGCTTTTGTGATATCAAATACATCCCTTAGATCAGTTTCACTACTTTTATGTTCAGTAATTTATATTAAATGCCGTACAAGACTTGTTCATTATTTACATTCCATCTATTTCACACATCAACGATATTATAATTTATTAAATACTACATAACAAAATCAAAATCGAATTGATGACGTTCGTATAACAACATATAAACATCATACAGTACAAACGTCAGAATTTATTTAAATTGTTCTTGTAAATTTTTTTTTAGTATTAACATTGATGGTAACGATCGAAAATTAATTACATAGGGTAGTCAAAAAGTTTTGCAAACACCTGTCTAAATTTTCACCCTAATTGGTTTTATTCCTCATGTTGGCCTATTCTAGTAGTGACATCTGTTATGTATTAAAATACCAGTACGAAGTTTCATAGTTGTCTATTATGGTAAATTTTCAACGAACTTTTTGAATACCTCTATTTTCATATGGAAAAACAGTGTATACGTTCGTATATAAAAACTCGTTTATTATTAGGCTTAACAGCTACACAAATTCATAATGAATTAACTGCTGTTTATGGGCCAGATGTAGTTTCATATAGTACAGTTACTCGTTGGATTCAACGATTTTTAAATGAGCGAGAGTCTTTGGAAGATAATCCTCGAAGTGGTCGTCCGTTATCCGCCATCACTCAACGAGATATTGATGAAGTTAAAGATCTGGTGAATGATGATCCACATATTACTATTGATTATATTGCTGACATCTTAGATATATCACATGGTAGTGTAGATACTATTCTCAAACAACACCTTGGGTTAAGAAAGATAACATCAAAATGGGTACCTCATAAACTGACAAAAGAACAACGACAACTACGTATTGATATTTGCACCGAAAATTTAAAGAAAATTGAACGTGGCACCTGGAGACTATGTGATATAGTCACGGGTGATGAAACTTGGATTTATCATCGCAAAATTATACCAAAAGAACAATCTAAAGCATGGGTAGCAAAAGGTGAAAGTCCTCCAACACAGGTGAGAAGACAACAATTCGAGCAAAAAACGATGTTTGTTATTTTTTTTATGACAAATGGACCATTACTTATTCACGAATTACCTTCTGGAACATCGATTAATGCTATTTATTATCGTGATGAATGTCTAAAAGAACTAATTAAAAATTTATATAAGAAAAGACCATCATCAACAGCAAATCATATTAACCTGCATCATGATAACGCACGACCACATATGAATAATATTGTCTTTAATTATCTTCAAGAAGAAAAAATCAAACTTATGGCTCATCCACCATATTCACCTGACCTTGCACCTTCAGATTTTTGGTTGTTCAATTATCTGAAACGTGGTCTTGATACATGCCCAGATGCAACAAGTTTAGCGAAAATGTTATCCAGGGAGCTTTATTCAATACCTATTCATGAATATCAAAAGACATTCCAGAAATGGATTGAACGGATGAAACTTTGTATAGAACATCATGGGGACTACTTCGAACATTTACTGTAAAAAGATCAGCAAAATGTTTTTTCTATTAATAAATATTTGAATGTTGCAAAACTTTTTGACTACCCTATGTATATGTGAATAGATCGTTCTCAACTATCAGTAACAATGAAAATGTTCATTGCCAATACTGATTAACGTATAACTCAAAAGATTCATGCATTATATCAATCATTATATATTATCATATCTCTTGTTCTTATATCACCATTTATTATTGCTTATTATACATATCGCACATAGCAAGGTATTGGTTATTATAGTCCATTATCTATAATACTCTACTTTATTATTTTATAATATGAACTGGAACAAATACATCATTTATTTCAGCTGTATGACGAACAATATTTCAACAAAATACATGTGAAGGTACTTTTCGTTTTCTTCATCCACAAATTCGAACACTTATGAAAAATATAACTTTAACATTTAACCAAGGATAACGTCTATTAATAACAGGTATTATATAGAATTTATTAGTTATATATACCTTTTTTTGTGAAACTATTAATTAGTAATCATTCTGTAACAGCACTAAAGTTGTTACTACTAGAAAGTGTCAAAAAGCAAATTGCTTTACATTTGAAGTAAAACCATCCCAGCTGCTTATCGTCATTTTATTTGATTTCTTATTTAGAAAAAGGCATTCTCAAATAACATACAAGGTAGAATTTTGTCTAGAGGTCTTGACTACTAATATCTGATCGATCAATTTATATGCATAATTCTTCATTTTAAATCATTCAAGAATATCTTATTAAACGTGATGATTGTAATATTAATATCATCATTGAAAGATAAACAAATAATTTAATCATCATTGATTTATCTAATGCTGATTTTTTCCATTGTTTTTCATGTAATGATGTTACACTAACAAATGATGGCATTGCAGCAGCAAATATACATAATAATAATACTGACATAACAGATGTTGAAAAAATAGGTACTTGAATTTGTTTCGTTACTCCTTTTAATCGATTAATTGAACGATATATATTAGCGATTTTATAAATGATACTCATTACATTTGATGGTGTTGCTAAAAATACCACCCTCAAATACTAATACAATGTTTACAACAATTATTCGAAACCAACGACTAACTTCAGTCATTGGAATATTTTTCCTATAAGTAATATTTGAATTTTTTTTATTGCTAAAATAAAACTTTTTTCGCAAATAATATTTTTCGGACTTGGTGCAAAACTAACATTCCATTCATGTATATCAATTGAATTACTTATAGATGGTTTTGGTCGACGATCTGCAGCAAAACATGTTGGTTGAAAATTTGAACGAACTCTATGAAGAATTTTCAAAATAAAATCATTTAATCAAATAAAATCTACCTATGTGCTTCGACAGGTGTTGAAAATGTTACAAATGCTAATCCACATTTTTTTGTTCGAACATGTAAATATTCATATTCGACACGTTCTTTATAAGTATTTATATAATTTTTCATAGTATTCAATTGCATCAACCTGTTTAAAAATTACAAATAGATATATATATGTGAATCAGTAAAACAAACCTCTTTTGCGCAACACTAAAAATAAAATAATTAAAATTAGATTTAAACAGAAATAAATTTTTAAATATTTACTTACACCACACATTTGTCCACATTTATTATTATAAACAACAGGTCGTTTACCCCTTTCTTCAAACATTTTTTTACTTTGTTGCCAAATACGAAGATTAAGTTCACTAAAAAAAACAAAATAACGCAATTTTTCAAACGAAAATTTCATAAAATAATACAAACCGTCGTTTATAACAATGTTGTAATTGAGCTATATTATAAGCAAGAGTTAAATGTATTATATTATATGCTGGATATGCTTCTTTAAAATATTCATTTAATTTTTCTTCATTATATGCTTCATGAGGAATCCCACAGATTATTAATGTTCAACATGCCAAAATATATACAATCATTAATATATTTCAAATTTAATCAAATTATTTTCTTATTTATGATGAACTATTACATAATATACTATTCAGTGAAATGAATTTAGAGTAACAACTAGTATACAACATAAAACACTACTTATTCTTTTGATGCTTCATTTTCGTACTGATTGATCGATATTTAACAAAAAAAGACTTAAAACAAGTTTTTCTTTATATATCATATCTTCTGTCGTATGATATCATGTCGCATTCGTATATAGATAAGCTACAATAATACTAACTAATACAAATAATATCGATGGTACATGCATGAACCCATAGTAATGGTGAACTGATTAAGAAAAATTCTGATGAATACCAATAGAACAAAAGAAATAAAAAATCATTCAGAGAGTAGATTAGCCACATTTGATTGAGCAAATCTTTGTTCATTTGTTCCTGTATAAATAAAAGAAGATGTTGTTTCTAAATTATAATTCGTTTTTTCTCGTACTTTGTATTCCTAGCAAACGAACCGGTAATACAGTAGCCAATGAAAATATTGTTACAAAAAGTAAATAAGTAATTAAATAAGTATGAAATAAAAGATAATAATATGCATCTGGTGAGCAATCTCGATAAACATCCCAATCACTAAACGATATAATTATTGAAGAAAAAAATATGAATTTACCTATCTATACCTAATTATAAATAAATCTCGAATCCATAACCATCGTCTCTAAATAAAAGAAAAGATTCCGATAAATTATGATGTGTTAGAAAATATTTTTAATAGAATATATCTAAGTGCATCACACTATAAGCGTTGTTAAGAAGAAAAAAAACTATTAGTCTAAAAAAATTTGTTCATTACCACAAAACATCGATGAAGACAAGATTCTTTGGCCTGTATAAAATGGAAAAGAAATAATCAGAAACTATGCAAAATGATGAATGGCAGCATTTTTTTCCAAATAAAAAATTATTGCTAGAAAGTAAAAAAACTAATGTTATAACAAACAATTGTATATATGACCTACGTTATGAACTGCATAGCTTGATCAATTACTTTAACCGTGAAGAAGAGTTGATATTCTATAAAAAAAGACACATTTCTTTCCAAAACCAAAATGTATAACAATTTTATTACTCTGTTCTATCAGCTATACTTTTCGAATCAGAAAACCGATGTCGTAATAAGTAAAAGGTAATAGAAGTATCTATATTTAAAATGAAAAGTTAATATTCGTTTATTTTTTTTCTATTGTATTATATATTAATACTGATGAAACAACTAAATTAACTAAAATATTTTCTGGAATTCCTTCATATGATCCTATAAAACCGAAGCCAGTTGTATTGACTCGTCCATAATATGAACAATCATCTCTGGTTACAGTCGGTGATTTTTCAGGAAGTAATGATGATATACGAATTGGTGTTGTCATCGTATTTTTAATACTGATTTTTTTAAATCGTTCACTTCGATTTATTTTAATATTCAATAATTAATCAAATTAATTTTTATGACCATACGAAGAAATACAATTTGCTATCATACCAATAATTCGAGGAAATATATCTACAAATGAAAACTAACAAGATGAAATGTAGACGAAAACTTAATAATTATATTCACAAGAAAATATATGTATTTGTAATTATTTACGTACTTTTATCATATTCCCACGGCAAGTAAAACAGATTTCTCATTTATAAGCAAGTAAATATCTTATCAATTACATAGAATTGTGAAAGAAAATCAAAAGATATGTCATATTCATTGATCGTTACATTTTATGAAACAATTTTCTGAAATGAAACAAACAAATACAAACGTCGCTTATTGGATATTATATGTTACTCATAATCTTCAATATACTAATGACATCTAGTAGGATGCCAAGTTATTTTCTTTAATGACCTGATGTATAAAGTTATATTGGAATTTTTCAAATTTCAATACGATAACTTCAAATTGTTTAATGAAGGAAAATAATCTATACTCTTTTCTTGTAGTTTCATTCAAATTATTAGACTCGGTAAAGTGTTTCAATAGGATTTCGAACAACAAAAGTACATTGTGATTCTTACTATTGCAACTTGATTGGATTTTACAGCTAAATTCGATATCCGCCACTTTGATTCTCTTTGGTTTCTAACGGTGTACTAAATTTTATAACATCATGTTATACGAAAGACGATAATAAACATTCCAAAGAAATATACTAGTATTTTCCATATTTTATAGAATACCTTCGATGATCCTGAAAAAAATATTTTCAATCTTATTACCGAATAAGAAACTAGTGAAGACGACAAGATTACTTTTTATTTGTAAGAGTTTGTCCAGGTCTTATGTTTTTCAATCGACTTTTTTCATAACAATTAATCCAGTATCGATGTAATTGTTCAGTTTGATGATATATATTATAAACAACACAGTTTACTTTTATAACGATGATGTTAGCTTTTAATATGTCAAAACAAACAGTTACATTGATCGTCAATGATACAAGTTCTACAATCACTAGAGCGAGAGTAGTCAAAAAACAGAATTTATTTAAAAAAATAAAGAATTTTAATTATTTTAATATATGTACATATTGATATCAGTCCTTCTATATTTCTATTCAAGATCGATTCATCTATCATAATAACATTTACAGTAATGACATTGTACATAGTTTTCATTATTGTACTCATTGTATATATGAACATTTATAATCTCAAAAAACATATATTGTATATTAATTTGTATAGTGTTAGAAATCAAGGATATTATTTGTTGAGTAAAAGTAATCTTTATCACGAGAAAAATCTTGATAATATATGTTGGTTTCGTTAATATTAATATCTATATGAATTGTTATATATTAGATTTTGGTAAATTAATACTGATAGCAACAATCATATGCAATGATAAAGATTTGTTTGTACATTCATATTGAGATGATTTAGAACTAGATGAAAAGAGAAAATTTCTCTAATATTTATATAAAAAACAGATTGTTTTATTCTGAAATTTTCTATAACAGAAAATGTTTGTCATTTTTGTTATTATGCATTGATAAAATTCATCTAATTTTCATTACAAAACAATGTAATATGCCGCACGTATATAATTAGTATAAAGAGCTGCAACGATAACTACCAAATAATCGAATGAAAAAAAGACTCTTAGCCTTTTATTGCGCTCCCATACGTATATACTTATTAGCATTGTAAATTCTAAATGCGTAAAAAAAAATACTTTATTTCTTAGAAAGTATGGTTAACATTTTTGCCAGTACACACTTATAATTCAACTATCATATTTGTAAATCAGTTGGAGAACTAGAACATATTGCACTTTCAAGTCTTATATTTTAATGAAAACTGTTTTTTCTCTACATATAAATGCTTCTTTACCATTACATTTTTGCTGTGACAAGTTGTACGTTACAATTCTTGATCTATATTTTGTGTATGAAGTAGATAAAACCTCAAGTAATAAACATTGATGCAATTTGTTACTTGTCAATATGAACACTTGCATTGTATAACATACTGAATTTATAAAATTTGAAAACATATTTTTCACTGCTCTAAATTATTATACCAGCGAAAAAACAACGATCATATCGATCTTGAATCCAACGCTACTGACAAATCTTATATCAAAAAATACTTTTGTTTTATTTAAGATTTCAATACGCAAATATCTACATTCATTAAAATCATTTATATTCCCATTGAATGATCAATCCTTTAATTTTCAGATAACGATAAAATTACCTTTATATATGAACATTAATTTTATTAACAAATTACATTTATGAAAAAACTATCAACAAATATAAATATACATATATATGTCCTGTGTTTACTTTAAGAGCACTCGATGAAACAAAAAAACCCATAAATAATATAAACATTAATAACAGTTATTTCATTTATCATATAAATGAACGGTTATAATTTTCAACTTTACATAGATTGAATTTAGTTTCTAGTCTATTCTTATGTAGAGCTGGTAATATGTTAATACGTTGAAGTTCTTTACGGATTGTTGAAAAGAAATGTTGTACACATTCTGGTGATTGAAATTTGATATTAGTTGGATATGTTACTTCAATACTAATTTTAACAACTATTCCACGTGTATTAAGTGGTCTACCACATCCAACAGCATTTTCGAACTAATCATCCTTATGTCTTTTCCTTCAAATCTCCTGAATCTGTATTTTAGATCATGAGGAATTGAAAAACACCTGTGTTTTTAATATTAAAATAGGACCTATATCCAGAAGATTTTTAAAATATGCTAAACAAAAGGCGTGGGTGTGTGGGTGAGGGTGAGGGTGTGGGCCGGTTTCTTGATGCCAGTGCGGGTGTGAGCCGGTATGTAGATGCATGTCTGTGTTTGACTGTAAGGATGTTTGGGTTTGGGTATGAGTGCCCATGTGATAGTATCTTATGTACGACTACGCCTACATCGACAACCATCCTTCGCTTGAGGACTCATCCTATTCAATTACTTCGTTCTTTTAACCAGTATATTCCATTCTTTGGTACTGATGCTTTCAATATTTGATTGCTCCATTTTATTACCCTCGAATTCTGATTGGTCAATTGTAAGGCGGTCAAATTCTGATTGCTTAATTTTATCATCCTCGGTCTCTGATTGGCTAACAAACAACGCTCGCCCGAGGACTCGTTTGACCATTTCTCATAGAAATGCATTCTATTTATATTTCTTGGAAAAATAAAAAAAATCCGTGCAACTCTGGTGTTCAATGTTTATTTTTACTTTTGAGACCTCTTCATTCTCCCCTCAACACTACGTGGTCACCCAAAAGTCTTCAGATTCAAAGCCTGGGTATCGAAATACCCCTAGAAACCTTTTTCTCGAAAAGTTAGTTTTCGATGTTTTTTTGACCTTTGACCTTTGACCTTTGACCTGCGACAGACAGACACACAAACGCATTTTCGTTTTTTTCGTAATACCCTCCTTTCAGTCGAGGGAATATATATTATTTCATAATATGATATGTTTTTATTCGTTTATATAATATATCTATATATATATGTATATGTATATGTTATTTGTCTTGAAATAAATTTTAGTTTTTTTCATGTCATGTATAAGAATTTGATACAGTTAAATGGAAAGGAAATAGATGTTTATATCAAGTTACATATATTTTAAATAAAACATCGATGTAAACTCTTTGAATGTATAGTTTTGTTTTTCTTGAACAAACGAAAATAATTCTATATATTATAGTAATTCTCGTTTGTTT